AGATGCGTATTCGCCTACAGCCTCGCAGGAGACCACAAGGTAAGCGACCCCCAGGTAAGCTGAATGTTGCTTTGTTGTCTTTGCCTGCTCACCGTCTCCATTTCAGCAATGAGCTAGCTCAACGGCTAGACAACCTTCCTATCGCTGCCGCCGCCGCCGACGACGCCGCCGCCGCTGCCGAGAACGCCTCCGTGGAGAACCGCTGGTGTCAACTGCGTGACACAGTCCAGTCGACGGCGCTCGCCGTCCTCGGTCGCGCTCCCAGCCAACACCAGGACTGGTTCGACGACAACGACGCTGCCATCAGAAATCTGCTTGCCGAGAAGAGCCGCCTACTTAAAGCCTACGTAGAGCACCCAACTGAGGGCAACAAAGCTGCCTTCTACCGCAGTCGCCGACAGCTTCAGCAACGACTGCGCGAGATGCAGGACGCCTGGACTGCTCGCAAAGCTGAGGAGATCCAAGGCTACGCGGACCGCAACGAATGGAAGAACTTCTTCTCTGCGATCAAAGCTGTCTACGGTCCGCCGACGAAGGGCACTGCTCCTCTCCTCAGCGCCGACGGCAGCACACTCCTGACTAAGAAGACGCAAATCCTGCAGCGATGGGCCGAGCACTTCCGAGGCGTCCTCAACCGCGCTTCCGTCATCTCCGAAGCCGCCATCGCCCGCTTGCCGCAAGTGGCAACCAACGCGGACCTCGACCTCCCGCCATCTCTCCAGGAAACGATCAGGGCCGTGCAGCAACTCTCCAGCGGGAAAGCACCCGGATCGGACGCAATCCCTGCTGAGGTCTACAAGCACGGAGGTCCCCCACTGATGGATCACCTGACTGCGCTCTTCCAGGAGATGTGGCGTCAAGGTGAAGTCCCGCAAGATTTCAAGGACGCAACTATCGTGCACCTTTACAAGCGCAAAGGGAATCGTCAAGTCTGCGACAACCACCGCGGCATCTCCCTACTGAACATCGCCGGGAAGATCTTCGCTCGCATCCTGCTCAACCGCCTCAATAACCATCTGGAACAGGGCCTTCTGCCGGAAAGCCAATGCGGCTTCCATCGTCATCGTGGGACCACGGATATGATCTTCGCCGCCCGCCAACTTCAGGAGAAGTGCCAGGAGATGCGGACCCACCTGTACTCTACCTTCGTTGACCTGACGAAAGCCTTCGACACGGTGAATCGTGAAGGACTGTGGAAGATCATGCAGAAATTCGGCTGTCCGGAGCGATTCACTCAGATGGTGCGTCAGCTGCACGACGGTATGATGGCGCGGGTCACGGACAACGGTGCTGTCTCAGAGGCATTCGCAGTGACCAACGGAGTGAAGCAGGGATGCGTGCTGGCACCAACCCTCTTCAGTCTTATGTTCTCTGCCATGCTGATGGACGCCTACCGCGACGAACGCCCTGGAATCC